AATTCGTTGCAATTGTAATCTCACCAGTGTAATAGTCAACAGAGCCCTGGACGGTTGTCTCTTCTTTCAGTTTCATGGATTGAATAAAACAAAATAAATTTGTAGTACTTGTAATGCTTGTAGAATCTAAGTATGACATTTAGGAAGAGTATGTTCAGTTGATATAGCTATCGTACTCACGGCCTGGGCCATCGACCGTATCTATCTGGGGTTGGGTATTCAGTTTCTGTCTCCGCCACATTGAATCTCCCCGGGACTCGTTCGCAAATTGTCATCTTTCGTCAACTTTGTTTTGCACAATAATAGCCTGAACATTTGGCTAATGCCAGTTTGATGATGAAGCTGTCATTCATTTTCATTACCATGAATTATGAACAAGTTTGGGCATCTAAGTGAGACTCTTAGTTGTGAATTGGCTGGACCATACTCTGCGTTTAGTCCGTGAATAAATACCCTAGATCACAGAGCCGGTTTCCGACCACCGTTCTTGCACTGGACTGGCCAGTTCTAATCAGATTGAACGATTTGATANNNNAGATTCCGAGATAATGAATGCTAAATTGCGCAATGAAGACTGTGGAATAATTTGACTGAACAGAAGCAATGGAGGTCAATTAAATTGTGGTGCGTAAATATAGTAAGTGCCTCGTCCTTCTGCCATAAGAAGTAGACAGAGTAATCAAGCAGCTCGGAGAAGCCCAAAAGGTTCTGTGCACTTGCTAATCAAAGACAATAAGGACCCGGATCAGATACTGTTTTACCAGGCAACGTAAAATTGTTATTATTCTCTTCCTCATCACTGTTGAACTAAACGCGGAAAATGAGGAAAGCAATCCAGAGATGATATGTATGGCACCAGTTTTACTCACTACAAATCATTCGTGGCAAAGCATAAAGAAGTAAGAGAAAAGTGGTCGAAGAAGGATTTCAAACGTGCAAAGGAGTAGACTGAGATGTAGCGAGAAAATAAAGGCAATTCGTGTTTTGGTGATTTAAGATTCAGTACTGGTGTGGTTAATTCGTTTTCTAAAGTACTTTTATAAACAATATAATCCTCGGAATTGTAAAATGGTTTCTACGAATTCGTAGACTATAAGAGCCAGACGGAAGCTGAGTAATAGCCCTGAGATGTATGTTGGTGAGGCTCAACAATTGTTTGGTAGGATTAGCAACGGGAAAGTGACAATTAACTTAGACCCGTTCAAGAGAAGTGAAGCCGGAGGACGAGCAATTGTAATTATTTGAAGGCAGCGGATAGTACGTGGATATTTTCAATGCTCGCTGTTGTTTAAAATTATTTGGGAAAGAAATAGTGTTAAACTTGATCCAATTTTCATACGAAGGGGGGGGGACAGCGACCCAAAGGCAGACAGTAAGTTGGAATCTTGGCTCTCTACGTGAGATGGATAAAAAAGCACCCGTCCACATTAACAAGATTTGTTATCCTTCGCTTCGCTTTGCACACAACTAATTCCCCCGTTTCCAGTTTATTTCCCGAACAGTAATCAGCAGGTCTCTCCTCCGGATTACCGATATAGTAATCTGTATACTCAGCGACTCTGACGTTAATTGTCATAGAATAAGCCACAGTTTTCTCCTTTGCAAATCGACACCAGTTGGGATTCACCCACCACAACCATGGGGCACGATTTGCTCTATTGCAATCGGATTGCTCCTTGATTCCCCTGTCCCCATCCGACTGAACGGCCAATCACCGAAGCGATTACTAATCGTTATGCTGTTCACCTTCATCCCCCAACTATGCTTTTCTGAGCTAATTCACGCATGATCAGTTCGCTTACCTCATCGACAATCATGGTCGGATTTACCCGTACGCATTGATCTTGCGGTTGCTACGCTACGGGCCGATATGTCCGAACAGGCAATTTATCCATCCGCACGATTTCGTGTCAGTTGAGCCATTTGACTGACGATGCGAAATCTTCTGCCCGGTGGGTGAGTAAATAGGTGGGTAGGTAGGTGGGTAGGTAGGTAGGTAGGCGATGCAGGAACAGCGACGGCGGTAACCGGTTGAGCTAACAATTGCGTCACATGACCTCGGCACGTCATGTTTCACCCACCCTCTCAGTCGCCCGTTTGTCGTTATGATAGTATCGAGTCTGACAAATCAGAAATGTGCTGGAATCTGAGTATGCCCCGTTGAACTTCACTGGCGTGAGGTAAAGACCTTTGAGGCAGAGAAGAGTTGAACGTAATACGATGTTTCTTGCCTGCAGCATTGACAGAGCAAGGTTCTTCCCCAAGGCGCACAGCAACCACACGCTAATGAACGGCTAGGCACACCACGTCATTTTCGATCCCAAGCACAGATGCAAATACACATTTATTGAGGAAAACAGGTTGTTGATTTAACATTGTTCAAAGAAGCTTGTTTGTCCACAATCATTTCATTTAAGTCCGAGCCGACTTGCCGGTCCACGAAATTTCAAAAAACTTCAACTAAAATTGAATTTGTCTTCTGTGAATCCAGTGCGCAGGAAATGAAAGCTCGCAAAAGGACTGTGTGGCCGAATTGGTTCCACGATTTTTTAATTGCGTACATTAAGATACTGGCACAATTAGTTAATTTTAAATACATAGTAAAATATGACGACCAAATGAGTTTGAGGGTTTTTATAAATTTATTTCCTTTTGTTCACGATCACAATGTACGATTATTGATGAAGTTTATCCAAGAAATAACTAGAATCATCATGGAGTGTAATGTTTGGTTAACCCATTCGATTTGTAATGTTTGTCGTGTTGGTTACAGCCATTTTGAGATAGGCGATTCTGTAATGATTGTAGTAATACGCACTGAACTCGGAGTACGAACTACGCAATACGGATCAAGGAATAATACGAATCAAGGATCAGCTATCACGGACTGGATCACGTAAGCACTGGACCGCACTGGCACTTGCACACAATTTCCATCGTAACCGAAATGCGAGGTCACAGGAGGAGTAGTTCATTTATTGAAAGAAATAGTAGGAATTAAATAATACGTACAAAGTAAGTACATTGATTATCCGGGCTTCTACTAATAGCGTTCCAGTATTCCTGGCATCGTTCTGTCTGGGCACACGGTCTCTGATTGGCTGGTACGATCTACCTATGGTATGTGGTCAGGAGCAGTGACACGTACACGAATTGTTGACGTCACCCGTGAAGTTTGATTGATTGCAGTTGTCCAAAAATTGTAATGCGTCTCTTCAGGGTACGCGTCATCTCGTAGGCCCGGATCCTCACAGATTCCCCGCCCTCCCCCCCCGCACGGNAATGCTTCTCGTTTGTCTCTGGAATTCCTCGTGATGACAAAGAATCAATTTGTTATACTGATTTGGCTATCCGCCCAATGTATTTATTGTCAGTAGTGTAGCTCTGAAGTAAGGGCTTTAAATACAAACCGGAAAATTTGCTGCTTAGATCCTTACTGGGATCTTCCATGTATCGAATTGACGAACAAAACACTGATCCCACAGATAGGACATAATTGCATACTACTATACCGAGCTCCGACAGGCGATACGATTGCTCTACTCGGTCTATATTCAGTGTAGCACAATCTGTCGTCATCAGAACATGATGGATCCTTAAATTATCTGAGCCATCCACTAATCTCCGATGATGACTGATGACTTTTCAAAAAGAAGCTAATAATATAAATGTACTTCGTCCTTCTTGATACCATATTTAATTCATAATCCATTATGATAACCTATTGTAATCATAAACGAAATGAGTCTGATTTTATACTCAGTTAATGGATTGGTTAAAAATTTCGATTTTTACAGTCAAAATAGCCCCCCCCAACTATCAGATCTGCTGGTAAATTACCAGTGCATCAAATGACCGTTCAGAAGTATGACAGAACGCATTGTAGGTTCCGTACGGGGAGACGAATAGAACCATAGCGCTGATAACCCTTGTGCACTGAACCTCACGCTGCGTGTTGATAGTGTGTCATCTAATCTATTGTAGAAAAGAAATTCGAGTTGAACGAACCGGACGTGGGCAAATACTACTATTTGCGAATTCAGCAACCACGTTCGTACACCGAAGTGTACTACCCGTATAAGCGTTGAATGATGAGGCCTGGGCCGCCGCAGTTCACAACTGATAAATGGCCAGAAGAGAATCTTGTTTAGCGGCAATAAAGTGGCACTATGGCCAGCAGGAGACCCAGAAATCAGTCCAGTAGTGCGCATTTGGAACGTCCTTACTTGAAGGTTGTAGTGCATTTCGAGAGCATATAAAACAAAAAATGAATTGGGGACAACCCTAACATATAACTTACTGTCTCTTTACAAAATTGTTCCTTGCAACATCGTCAAAAGTGCACAAAGGTGTATGTATCTTCTTTAATTAATGTTCGTTATTCTCGTTCGACTCCAAGAGCATTCAATACTTCTGTCACGGCCTTATATGCTATTTTTCATTCTGAGTTTCTATTTTTAACGGTGAGTAAGATATATAAATTTTGTATTTAGGATTTTATTCGACTACCGTATTAATACCAATAATTATTTGATGTGTTGCACTTAGTAGTGAGGATATCATGAAAACATAAGGGATCATAGAATTTTTAATAAGATTATGTTATTAATTGTTACTGGCTCATTACATAATATAGACGGGAGAGCTTTATTAATAAAATATTTACGGAATCCATCATTTATTTTTAACAATGGAATAAATGGGCGAATTAAAAGATCCATCACCACCACCAGAGGACAATACTTGGTCCGAAAGTACTGTGGATTTATTGATTATTCAATGAGTGTTCAAATGAATCACGTGGAACAAGCGTGCATGGGCGGAATTACCCGGCGAATGTGTAGCTGCTCCAACACCCATAAAAATGATGCACGTGTTGTTTCTGTCGGTAGGTCTACTTTGGCTCCATGGTCTGCTAGCAGTGATTGCACATCGTACACAATGTTGCTTGAGAGGCAAAGGCGTGTGCACCTGTCCCCTTTTAGAGCTAAACGGACTCCATGCCGAACAATGTGGCCAGAAAATTTTTGTGNACAATTTTAGCTCTAACCACAGATGATATTCGTCGATACACCCAACAGGATTTGGCCTGGGTCGTGTTTGTTGCATTCAATGTTTCTTACGAATGCCTCGCATCGGAAGACGAGCCGTGTGTGATACAACCGATATATAAGCCGAGAACCGCGGAATGTACGGACATGTTTGACTACGAATCCAAGTTGTTTGTGTTCGCGCTTCATCAGTCTAAGGAATTTCAACCAAATGAATTTTTTGGCGAGACGATTGCACAGCATATTGACAATCCGGATTATGCCGTGCACTTCATGGATTACAGTCAATTTCGTAACCCCATGCTATTCAACGGGACACCAACACACGCCAATCGATACGCCCTGTTCCGATGTGACTGGAGCTCGGTTTTGCACATGTTCTCACAACAAATTGATCTGCTGGATAATTTCGATTTGATGGAGAGATTTTTCTACACCCCCTCGCCTACATACACGCTGCAACCGGATCTCCGATCTCTGTTCCCGTTTGCACACATCACTGAACTCATGGTGAGACAGGAACGAAGCGCTTGCAGTATGCAAAACGAAATCAAAGGGAATCCGACCGTATCCTCGATCTTCCCGATGCCAAGACATTGTAACGAACGCGGGCTTGAACTGTTTCTTGAAAAAGTGAAACAAAACGTAACACGGTTACATGATTTGGTGAAACACTGGAAGCTTCATGTGAACATATGGGTGCACACTTTACGCTTTCATACATATGTGATGCTTTGGTATCGAAGCCTATCTCGAAAGGAACTTAGCTTGCAGATGTTAAGACATTGGAATGTGCACTTTGTTCAGGAGCCCTTTTCAAAAGTGTATTGGAATTCATTGTACCGAGGTAGTCGGATAGTTTGCAAGTTGCAAGTTTTAGCTGAAATATTAAAAAACGTCACAGGAGAATGGCCGAAGATGCGGTGAGTGATGAATATCTTAAACCTCGTTCTTACATTTTTATGACAGATTTTAAGGTGTATATTTATGGAACAAGTTACGGGGACTTATTTTGATCCAGGTAATGCACACACGTATTACTGATTGAACTTGCTTAGCTACCACTGATTCAACCCTCAGATGAGATCATTCGATGCTTTGTGCTTCGAATACAAGCTTCTGGTAAACCTAACTGTCAATGTATCCCACAATTTCTTGATAAAACTCGGGAGGTTTCACTCCGGAAAAACAAGGTACGTCTGGTATACACTAAAGATCACTGTCTCATATAATTCTATCAGTTCCATCTGTCAAATCTGCAACTCCATGAGGATAACGCGATTCTTTCATATTTGTTACGTGATCTTTGTGTGGATCCGGTTAAACCTAGTTACGATACGAACAGTACAAAAACAAACCAATGGCTGTTCCAATTTTCCGTTTTATTTCAATAACCCATGCACAAGCAGGAGAAGCATAACGATTCCGTTCAAAAGCGATATCATACGGTGAAAACTGTGAAATACTATGATAAAATGGACGACCAATGGTTGATTTATTCAACCCTATTTACGGATGAAAAATGCAACGATTCCCGAACTCAATGAAAGGAGACAGAACTCAGGTGAGAGAAAGAAGACAGTACCCTGGTACAAATATGGAACAAGCCACTAAAGCCTGTTGTAAAAGATTTAGTGGGCAGGCCATCCAACCTGAGTCCCACGAACCAGTTCACACCATGCAGAAAATTAGAAAGGTAAAATAATTTTTGAGTGAATTTCTCCAGTTTTCATTGAGACCATTATGAATAAACGACGTTCAGTCTTTTTTACCGATCATTGTGAAGCCTATGCCTATGGGTTAATTTATGTCCGTGGCGGGCATCGATAGGATGTGAGGCATATTTGTCTTTACTTCACTTGAACGCAATCAGTGACAATCTACTCAGGATGGAACACTAAGCACTGCACAACTTTTTAATGTAAAAGTATAACTACTTGTGAGTAGCGAAGAAATAAGTGTGAGCGGTTTGTAGTGGTCATTCAAACTCCGTCTGGATAAGGCATACAGAGAAATACAAAACTGATCGATGATATATCTCCATTTGCATGTACTCAACTATCTGACGCTCTTTTACTCAGTTTTGAATCCCAACCCCCCACGTTTCTGTTATTCTTGTTGTTCCGTTGTCACCAAACTTGCTTGCAAGCCGGTGATATTAACGGTCACAGTTACAGTACAGTACAGTAGCTGATTATTCTTCAAGAAAAGATGGCGCAGAAACGCGGCCATTAGGAAATCAGGATAAAGATAGACTGTCGGTGTTCGAGTACCGAATGCCGTCTACGCAGCATTGCACGAATCTGGTGGAGCAGCCGGACGATCAATACTGAGGTTAGGCGCAGAGTTTTAGGTAAGTGCGGTCGCCCACTGAAGCAAATGGTCGACCTCCATAGATTACGTTGGTCGGGGCATGTGTTACACATGTCACCAGATAGGTTACCACGGCGAGCGATGTTTGCCGAAGCAGGTAGTGGGTGGAGTAAAGCCAAGGGTGGTCAAGCTAAGATTTGGCAAGAGGGTATGAAAACGCTAACCAGGCGTCTGGGTCACCTAGGTCCCGTTATGCTCTCTGGCTGGGGATCTCGGGATGATCGTACCCGATGGTTAGAGACATTGATTGATATGACTGGGAGTCGTAAACGGTGGCGTTCATGCATCTTGTCAATTTCTCTGCAACATCAGTTCACTGAACTTTTCAGTTTTCTCTTCGATCCTACTTTCAACCTTTCCTGTCTTTCTCCTAATGTTCATCGAAATGGGCAGCCGCAAGATAGCAACCAAAACCGGCGCACGATAATGCACGGTTAATGGTTGAACAATCTGAACTGAATGTCTAAAATTCTTGTGTAACACTTTTGGAGATACAGATCACACTGAGATCTAATAATGTTCTTGAATAGAAGAGGTACTAAATAGATGGTTCAGAATACGCCAACAAAGGAATTTCACTGCACCATCTCATCAAATTTACACTCTAGGTGAGACAGTATGTGATTCGAATTATAAGCTAGACTGATTAGCGGAGTTCAATGAGCAATTAAAAGAAAAAAATTCAGAATAGGATTAGGTAAATTATTAGCTCTATCCGTATACTCAAAGTAGTCTTTCATCTTTGCATGGCAAAAATTTATTCACTTTTGAATTGAAGAACTCAATTTTCCAATTGACACTGTGGTGATCCTAGCCTACGGGGTGACGCATACCACGGAGAGACTCATTACAGTTTTCGGACAATGGTAATGAATCAAGCTTCTCCGGTGACGTCAGCAATGCTCGTACTTGTCACAGCGTCTGGACTACAAACCATAGGTCGACTGTACCAACCAATCAGAAATGATGAGACCCAGACAGAAGCTGAACAACTCCAGACATACTAGCACGCGATTGGCAGAGGCTCGGATGACCAATAGATCTGTTTTGTACATATTTAATCCTCTTGATTTCTTTCAACAAATGAACTGCTATTCCTGTGATCTTTTCCTCGCTTCTCGGTTACGTGGGATATTGCGTGCAAGTACCAGTGTGATCCAGTACTTACGTGGCGTCCTTGATTGCTAATCCGTGATTCGTATCTCGTGATCAGTGAGTACGACAAATACTACAATTATCACACATTAATAATGAATAGCTACCCTGAGTCACTCACTCATAGAGAAGTATAGCACTCCACATAGAATCAAGTGAAGTTGCGATTGGTCCCCAGCGCAGCTACTTTGTGCATTTCTTTGGAAGGTGACAATAAAATAGAGGATTTCAAAAGATGTGTCCACGTTGTGTAGTTAAACAAAACGACATCGTTTCTAAGCTGCACGGGCTTTACACTTGCTGATAGGTACCAGCCCATGTGAAAAGACCGTTTCTAATTACAGACAATGTAAACATAATTTACCTGTGTATACATGTGTCTATGCGCAGTCTAGTACCCGAGTCCGACTGAACGATAGTTCTGATTAGGTTGGTTGAACACGTGAGTGCGGAAAAGCTTGTCAACCAGCAAGTTACACAGGTCACATGACAACAAGCATAGTGTCGTTGTCCAACACTTTGAACAAGGCACACTGTCAATCGTGTTCCGTATAGTTTTCACATCAAGTAGCGCACAACCAACTTCGGTTAATGAAAAAAATATCACTGAAAGACGTAAGTTTGAATTAAGTGTTTTTTTTTGAAAAGCACTTTTTCTGTTTTTATTTTACTTTGGTACAGAATTGACACCCTTTTTACTGAACACCGCATAATAAGTGGCAGCTTCTCAGCGTTCGTACGACTCGTTATTTTACGTCTTGAGAGCTTCCTCTGGGACCAAATTCGAACACGTTACCGTTTGTTGCTAATTACTGTGTTCAATCACTTCCCTAACAATGCTCCGTTCTCACTGCATACGGTGACTGCGAAATCATAACAGAAGGAGAGAATTTGGAGGGTTTGTTTACTCCGTAAATAGTTTCCACTCTCATTATATTCGACTTTAAATTCCAGTGCTAATTAGGCTGCTCAGTTGATTCGCATTGATAACATGAATATGTCCCTATAACGATGATTGTCTATGAGAGAGCCTTGAATAGAAAAATAGCTACGTATACATGGGATTCATTTGTGAAGAGCCGGAGCATAAAGCAACCATGCAAAAACAACACTTTTGGTACAACGAATAGCACAGTCCATTTGGAATGCGAGTTCTCACATTCTGGTAAGTACACATGGAGTCACATCAGATAATATTAAGCATTTAACTGCCGCATTGCAGAGTGAAGCATACTCAAAAGGGTAGTCGAGACTCCAACCTGTATACCTTTTGCGGTCGACGTATTCTATACACTCTATTGCCGATTCGAAGTAATACAGAAATAGAAAACCATGGTAGTTGCGTAATGGAACACAACTGATTCACAAATCACTACGTAGTTGCATAATAAGGACAATTTGAAAATGTTTGACAGGCAAACTGTCATTATTGTGCAACTGGTTTGTGAACTCTCAACCAATCTCCAACTTAATCCTGAAAGAACTCATACACTACAGTTTCAACGTTTAATTCTTGTTACATGTGCGAAACCTCCTGATAGACGGACGGTGTAGCCCTGAAGTAACCACTGGGCCTTCTGTCAGCAAGCAATTTTCTCTCCAAACTGGAAAATAACCAGTTGCGAAACACCTTACAATTACTTGCGGCATATGCGTTCGTTATACTGACGGATAGTTATCTTTTAGCAGTTTCCCAACATAAGCATAAATGCTTTCAAGCAAATCCATTCTTCTTTTATTGTCACGTCGTAAATAAAAGGGAAGATACACCATTCTAACCACCCCATACGAATTGGAAACGGTCAATGCACACATACATATATACATACCTTCGTACCTACGATTTACAATGGAAAGCCCTTACAACGTGTGGTATACAGAAAATGTCAAATCAGTTTCAACCAAGCAATAAAACATGCACTCTCGACTTAACCTAAAAAACTGAATATCCAAAACGATAGGTGAAGAAGAACACCAAATTTATTGATCGAACTCATGTGACCCCGTGACCTTCAGGTCTCTTACTGTCAGTCTAGCATTTCGAGGCTCACTCACCGGAATGCATACGCTTTATCCTGGTGTGTACACCTGAAACAATACGAAGTGAACCATTTAACTGTGCACCCAGAAGTGTTTTGTCGGTTTACTATCTCTGCCATGGCGAGGTGTTCATCGATCACTTGATCCAAGCTTGATGATTGAATCAACATCGCAAGCGGACAATGGAAGTGACGGTTAATCAAAACTGCTGAAGCGAGTAGAACACCTTTCCACATCGTGTGATGAGGTCCACTTCAGGCTGAATAACAAGTCCTCAATATTTCCCCATGTAGTTCTTAATGATCAGTGAATAAATTATCGAAAAAAATCCGTTTGTTTCTCCTTGAGGACTTTTTTCA